AATGTAGCATCGCCAGGCAAACGACTATAGAGTTTTCGAACTGAGACAATTATTAAGTGATCGAGGACTCATATTAACTGGCAATAAGGGACAGTTAATTAAACGGTTGACGGATTTTAATCCACATGTTTGGAACAACTCAATGAAAGAAACTACCAAAAAATGAGCAGTCAAGACGACGATGCAAATGGCGGAGGTGGTGGCAGCAGCGTCCACCAAAACCAAGGTAACAATGATAATTTCGGAGAAGACGCTATGTGGCACGAAATAGATTTGCAGTAGAGGGAGTGGGATCTGGCCAGGCTAGAACTAGAAATTCTTTGAAGAAAAAAAGAAAATCCGCCCGCACCAAACGAGAGGAATACATTGAGCATACGTGCTGTCAGTGATTAAGTGAGTGACTTTGTCAGTGTCAGTTGTTTGTTTAAAACATGGAAACAACAGGTTACATTGCTTAACGAAAATTACCGCCTCAATGACGACACCACGCGGGTTTTGATAAGCACAAGACTAAAGGGACACGTGCTAGCGTGGTTTTATTCAAAATCCGAGCATCTAACAGATCCGGTTGATGATCTGTTAAACAAACTTTCCACTATGTTGGACGTCCATCCGAAAAAAATTACTCTGCGTCGCGATTTCAAGACCCAAGTGTGGCAGCAGAAGAAAACTTTTACAGAGTATTTCCATGAGAAAATTATCCTCGCAAATCGTTTACCATAGAAGAAGAGAAAATAATAGACTATTTAATTGACGGCATCCCGGATAAACCTCTGCCTAATCAGGCACGAATTATGAATTACAATGAGAAAGAGAATTTACTCAAAGCTTTTAGGAAAATAACGTTGGATACTAAGAAATCTGGGGAGCACGCGCGTACTGGCACAAACAGTGATTCCTTAGAAAAGGAAAAGGACTCTACAAAGCAAGTGAAGTGCTACAACTGTTTGGGCCTTGGTCATGTTGCAAACAAGTGTCCAAGGGACGAACGTCCAGAAGGGGGGTGCTTCGAGTATTTTGCTCATCAAGTGAGAAACTACCTGCATTGAGAAAACGGCCATGTAACAACGAAGGCCTCTAGCTCGAAGGCGTCAGCTAACCTTTTGCAAGGAGTAATGGCGCCAGGCGAGCCATACAGGCTTGCGTTCGTGTATGCGGCAGCGGGAGACAACGACAAGGGGAACACTCACAAAATTGACGCGATACTATACTTGGGCTCGCGTACAAGTTTAATTAAAAATAGCGTTGTTCCATTCTCGTCATGTCAGCCTAATCCAAGTGATGTTTCCAAGTATTCAGAAATTAATAACTCGCACCTTGAAATCTGGAGAGTGATGGATAAAATGGTAAAAGTTAAAGGCTTTACTGTTAAAATTAGACTGTATATAGTCTCGAATCGTGCTATTACTTACACGGCATTGCTCGGGCATGACTTCACGCGTAAACCTAATACAAGAGTCACATTCGATGATCGTGTTATTGTTAGTGAACGCGATGAGACGTGTGCCGAAGCTGCGTACGAAGATGAAATAAAGAAGATCTTGGATATTGAGTGCGTGAGTGAATCGGATGAAAATAGCAAGTCTCTGAATATAGACACAAATATTAACTGCATGGTTCGCAACAAAATCGAGTATTTGTTTGAAACCTGCTATGAGGCGAAGATGGAAGAAGAGAAGGAGGAGCCGGAATACGAGATGGCCATTGTTTTAAAACATGAGCAACTGATAAGCTTCCAGCCCAGGCGCCTTTCGTATGCGGAGAAGGAGCAACTGCGCATTCTACTTGATGACCTGCTAGCCAGATGTGTGATTTGGCCTAGCGACTCGTCCTATTCTAGCCCAATCTTAATGCAACGAAAGAAAACGGGTAAGGTAAGAATGAGCATCAACTATCGGGACGTTAATAAAATTACGGTACGCAATAACTTTCTGACCAATGGAATAGATAACAATATCGACCGACTTAAAGATATGAGATATTTCTTGACCCTAGATTTAAAAGACGGATTTTACCATATTAACATCGCGGAAAATTATATAAGTACACAGCTTTCATTACGCCCTTAGGTCAATATAAGTACTTGCGATGCCCATTCGGCCTCACAAATGCCCCAATAGCATTCACTCGTTATTTAAGAAAAGTATTTGCAAATCTTTAATGGTGAGGGAGAATATTGTTATTTTATGATGGCATACTTATTGCAACAGGTACTATAGAAGATGATTCGTTAATTTTCAGGGAAGTTTTTGAAACCGCTGATCGGTTCCATTTAGAATTTTTCCTTGATAAGTGTCGTTTCGCTGTGCAAAAAATCGACTACTTGGGGTATCGAGTGAGTTTGGATGGTATCCGACCCGGTGATGAAAACATACAAGCTGCTTTATCTTACCCAATGCCGCGAGGTGCAAAGGGAATATTACATTTTGTTTCACTTCCAATCTACTTCCGGAGATTTTTCAAAATTTTTCGACTATAGCGAAACCTTTATACGATTTAATAAGGAAGAACTTTAATTTTTGCTTTGAAGCTGAGGAACTCCGCGCTTTTGAAACTTTGAAAGAGCGTCTGGCAAGCGGCCCAATCCTAGCAATCTATTCACCAACAGCTGAGACCAAGTTACACTGTGACGCGAGCGCATCGGGATTTGGCGCTATTTTATTGCAGAAGCAAACTAACGGGATTTTTCAAGCAACTTCCTACTTTAGTCAACGAGTGTCTCAAACAGAGTCTAGATATCATAGTTTCAAACCTGAGCGTTTAGCGGTTGTGTAAGCGTTAAAACGAAATAAGACCTACTTGCTTGGATTAAAATTTAAAATAATAACTGATTGTGATAGCTTCCGGTTAACCCTAAGCAAGCAGGAGATAAATCCACGAATCTCAAAGTGGGCGATGTATTTACAAAATTTTGATTATAAAACTCAACATCGCCCCAGGAAACGTATGAGTCATGTCGATATGCTAAGCCGTTCTCACGGCATATTAGTGATAGAAGCAAATACGTTTGAACAAACATGAGCGCTTTGCCAATAACGAGACGCTGAAATTCAAAAAATCCGTTGCGAAATTAAGAGAGGTGATTTGCCTTTATTAGAGTTGTACAATGGTCTTGTGTACCGGAAGGGTCGTAGCAAGAAACTTTTATTGTATGTGCCAAGCGCAATAGTAATTAACGATCTTGGCCACGTAGGCCTCGATAAGGGGGTAAATCACCTAAGCAAACTTTATTGGTTTCCTCACATGCAGAAACAAGTAAAAGAACACATTCAAAACTGTTTAAGATGTATCGAATTTTCAACTACGAGCGGAAAACAAGAAGGATTCTTAAATAGCATCCCGAAAGATAATATTCCTTTTTCTACTGTACATATCGATCATCTCGGTCCGTTCGAAAAGTTGACTCAAGGATATGTATATATATTTTAATTGTTATTGACGGATTTACCAAATTTACAAAACTATACCCGTGTAAGACCACAAAATTTGTTGCAGCCATGAGAAAATTGAAAGATTATTTTATTAATTACTGTAGGCCAAAATGCATGGTGAGCGACCGCGGAACCGCGTTCACTTCGCATAAGTTTAAAGATTTTCTTACAGGGGGCAAAATTAAACATGTTCTTACAGCCGTTGAGACGCCAAAAGCTAACGGTCAAGCTGAGCGTATGAATCGGTTTATTACACCTGCTCTCGCGAAACTTACTAAAAACCCAAAGAAATGGGACACGGTCTTGAGTCGCATTAAGTTCGCCATTAATAACACTGTTTGCCGATCCACGGGCGAGACACCCAGTCATTTATTATTTGGCGTAGATCAACATGGCAAGCCTAACGATAGTATGCCACTTGCTTTAAAAAGCTTACATCAGCCAAAAAGAGATCTAGAAGAATTAGGCGCAAAAGCAGCCGAGAGTATATAAGACAGTCAAACTTATAACGAACAGCGTTATAACTTGCGCAAGAAAAAATCTTACGTGTACAGTGTCGGCGACTACGTAATGATTCAAAAACGTTGATACAACTCCAGGACCGAAAAAATTAATTCCCAAACGTGAACGACCGTATGAGATAAAAAAAAAGTGTTAGATCACGATCGTTACGTGGTCAGGGACATTAAAGGCTTTCAAGTTACCTAAGTATCTTATACTAGTGTACTCTCGCCAGATCACATGACGCCTTATATATCTCTTGATCGAAAATAATTAAACGCGATTTAAAAGGAGATTTTATCTCATTCGATCCTACTTCAATTCTAAATTATAAGGTAGCCTTTTAGTCACGATTTGGAAAGCTCTATCAATATCTTGTATGTTTGTATTTAATGACATGAAAAGTTTTGTACTAATTAATAAAAGAAAACCTAAATTTTTGGCCGAGATGGCCTAACGTCAGGTATGGTCAAACTGTAAGCGAATTATTTTGATAACGAGCAAAGAGGAAAAAGGGGAATGCAAACGTGCCAAAACTAATTCCCCCCCCCCTCCCCCCCGACCACCGCCAAGCGGTCGCGGCGACAATTCATAACATGGCAGCTGCGCCTGCCAGGGGAAAAAAGCTACGTGCCACATACAGAGGGATTTGAGCCCGAGTCACTGGACTATACAGATCGACTCTTGTATGAATAAAGGCTAACCATCTTTACAGAACCTCGAGTGAAAAGTTATTTCATTCCCGACTCCAGTTTCCCTCCCTTGAAACTGTAACTTACAAACATAAAAATTATTTTTTGGTTCTTCAATTTTTAGAACAATTTTTTTGTTTAGTGTGTTAAGCCTCTTGATAATAATTAGTTAAACATGCACCTGTAGGGACAACTTTTCACGTGCCATACCAACTGTATGTTATTTCGTTTTCAAAAAGCAAAAAGTACTTAACTTCCGTAATACTTATTTGATGTTTGTATATTCATGTTACCACAAGTTTATTTTGTATAGTATAATTATAATTTCAAGTAACTCAACAAATGATGACTTATTGTTGTGAACTTTCTGTTACAGATTTATCCTGACGTTGGACATAACTTAGCTGGAGTAAAAGAGCATCTTTATCTATCAATGGCTAAATTTTTTGATGATTGTTTCGAAAAACAAATACCTATTGACTCTAAAGTTGGTTTAAGCAGTGGAGGAACTGGTTCACACTGAAATTAAACAAATATGTTACGTGGTAAAATTTGAACAATGTAAGAAACAATCTACGATTGTAACAATAATTATTATGTCTATTTTCTTTAATAGATCCTTATAATAAGTCGTTAAAAAATAAAAGTTACAAATCTTTGAATACTTTGAAATAGTAGAAACTTTCCTCGTTAAGCAAGTTGTACTCCTTATAAAAAATGTGAGTATTGCATGTATACTTACTAATTATTACGTATGTACATAACGCACATTATCTTTCATACTCACCGATGAACAAAAGCAAAAAAATGAAAAAAAGTACTTCATAGAAGTTTTCAAATTTTATTAAGTCTAAGTATCTTAAAACAATTCAAATCAAGGTTTTTTTTAAGAGCTAACTTTATTAGAGATACAAAGTCAAAAGTATGCAACGTTGCATTATTTTTGCAGAATGTAAAAAAAACATGCTACAGGTATAATGAAGCATAATACGTACTCACATATACTTATGATAACTTATTTAAGATAAGCATTTAAAAATCAAAGTATTAGCATTTGTTTAACTCTCATAATTCAATCTATGTACTCTTGTTCATCTCTAAACATTTCGAACAACGATTTTCTTATCGATCTTATCGATATGCAAAGCCCGAACAGTAGCTCAATTACTTGCAAACTTACAACAGCTTGCAGTACTTAATCTATTACTTCAGCTTTATTACGGTTCTCAATTAAATATTAAATTACTCTCTTTTTGAGGTCCTTTTCTCATGTACCATTAATAATAGAAAGATTGAATTTTCTTAATATTAAATTAGGGTCAAACACAGAATTTTATGTTTTTATTATAAATTAGAGGGTTAGTTACAATCTTAGTTAAAAAGATCCAAGGCTTGTTTCACCAGCTAAGGAAGAAGTTTTCAATTGTTATAAATTCTTATCTGTCAGACACTGGACTTGTATGAACAACTGTGACAAGAACTAATATAATAAATTGTTTATTTATATAGAGTTTGCATTCAATTTAAAAAAATAAAAAGCATAGAAGAGGAATGAACGATAGTATGCTGCTTCGATCGTCAGCTCAATTCTAGCTTCCAAACGATGAGGGAGCGCTCTCTCAAAATTATTATTTGGTGCTTTCATTAATTATATTATGAATAAATTAGTTTGTATATGCATGTGAGTTAGTGTTGCCAACAACATTAAACAATTCATCTAATATCCAGCCACTGATCTGGTGCTTTGAGGCTGTGGAAATACCACAGCTGTCACTCTGGTATCTTTAAACCTAGTTGATCGCCACTTTAATTAGGTATTGGCTTAAAGAGAAGACTGCCTTTTGGCTGCGTGTGTACTACTTTTGTACCCTTCGGGTAGTGAGGTGCCTTTGATGGCCTTCGGTCAAGATCTCTTCTAGGCACTCAACCACAACAATTTTTATTTTCTTTTTTTAATAATAAACAGGGTGGTAATAATATATAAAAAAAATTTTTTATGTAAAAAAGGTTATTATTTCGAACAACGGGTTACACGTAAAAGAGTAACAACGTAACACAATAGAGCCTATTATTCTGATGAATCGCACATTAACATTTACTTGACAAGGACTTCAAATATTTAATCAAGTTATGGTTAAATCATCGCAAGAACTTTCTGGGCACTTGGCAGGCACTCAAACAACTCGGTAACAGCATTTTTATAGGACTTGTATGGGACTTGAGTGGAAAAACGACTCTGAATTATTACTTCATTGTGCTAGACTATGTCACAAGTTGAGTAGTACTTGAGTGGCACTTTAGCTGTCATTAAGTCCCACTTCTACGATATTTTATACATACTTCAGTGGCAGTTCTACGAAAATAGTGTAATTTTTAAGTGGTGCAAGGGAATTAACGCAGTGTTAATAAAATTATGTATTACTGTTGCCAAACATATAAGGGACTTAAGTGTCATTTGAGCAGGAATGGAAGGTAAATCTGTGCAATTAAGGCATTAGTCAAGTAGTTTATCTAGGGGCGTTGACACAATTTAGGCAGAGAACTTTTCTGAGGTAATTTTAAGACCTGTTTTAAGACCTATTTTTAGACTAGTATTAAAACTTGCTTTAGGACTCGTTTTGATACCTGTTCTTCAACTTGTTATGAGACTTGTCTTAGAACTTGTTTAAATAACTATTTTGAAACCTGATTTAAGACGCGTTTTAAGGCCTAATTCAAGACTTGTTCAAAGGTCCGTTTTAAGACCTATTTAGAGACTTGTTTTGTACGTATTTTGTGACCTGTTTAAGGACGTTTCGTAAAATCTACTTTTAGATCCGTTTTAAGACTTATTTTACTACCTGTTTTTAGACTCAGTTTAAAACCTGTTTTTGGGACTTGTTTTGACACGTATTTTAAAACTTGTTTTTAATTTTGTTTTGTGACTTGTTTTAAGGCTTGTTATTAGACCCGTTTTAAGACCAGTGTTGAGACTTGTTCTGAGATCCGTTTTAAAACTTGTTTTAAGATCAGGTTTTGGACTTGTTTTAAGACATTTTTTACTCCTCGTTTTAGAACCGGTTTTAAAAATTCTTTTGATATCTGTTTTGGGCCTTGTGTTGATACATGTTTTGAATTCTTATTTAAGAGTCGTTTTACACCCCTTGTTATGGGACTTGTTCTAAGACTGGTTATAAGACTTATTTTGAGACCTTTTTAAGACTAGTGTTGGACCTATTTGAAACCCTATGTGTGGCTGATTTTGAAACTTGTTTTGAGACCCGTTCTGAGAACGTTTTGAGACTCGTTTCAAGACCATTGTTGAAAAATATTTTGGACACGTTTTTAGACTGTTTTGTAGTCTTATTTTCTTACTTGTTCTGAGGCTAGATTTGATAATCGGTTTGAGATTTATTTCGGGACTGGTTTTAAAACCTGTCTTAAAGTTCAATATGAGACTTGTTTTGTGACTCGTTCTGAGGCTTGATTTTAGACCCGTTTTCAGATTCCTGGTGAGACTTGTTCTGAGACCTGGTTTGAGACTTGTTTTGGGACCTGTTCTTAGAGTTGTTAAAAGGCTAATTTTAAGACTTGTTACGGGAATCGTTTTAATACCTGTTTTGGCATTTGTTCTTACACCTACTTCAATACTTGTTTCAAGACCGTTTTTAATCTTGCTTTAAGACGTGTTTTGAGACTTGTATTAAGTCCTGTTTTGAAATCCAATTTGGAATTCTTTTTGGGACTCGTTTCTAGACTTGTTCTGAAGCTATTTTGAGACCCAATATTTAACCGCTTCATGGCTCCTTTTAAAACTTGTTTTGAGACCTGTTTTACTGCTTGATTTAAAACCCATTTAAGACTTGTTTTTATACTTACCTTAGAACTCTATTTATAAGGCATTCAAATACTTCTTAGATCTCTTTTAATATTTGATTTAAGACTTGTTTCGAGTTTGTTTTTGAGACTTGTTTTTTGATACGAATTTGGAGACCACTTTTGTACTTATTTTAAAGCTTGTTTTATGTCTCGTTTTAATACTTGGTTGAAGCTTGTTTAAATATCCGTTTTAAAACCTATTTTAAAACCTGTTTTGAGACTTGTTATGCGTCTTGTTTTAGGACTTGTCTTAAGACCTGTTTCAATACTCAATTTGAGACTCTTCTTAGACCTGCTTTGAGACTGCTTATGAGACCTGTTTTGAGACTTGTTTTAAGACTAATTTTGAGACTTGTTTTGAAACCTGTTTTGGGACTCGTTCTAAGATCTGTTTTGTGACTTGTTACAAGTCCTGTTTCGATATTTTGTTGAATTATTTTTTTTTTTCTTAAGAAATTTTTTATTACTTGGTTGAAGCCATGTTTGAACATTTCTTTTGAGGCTCATTTTATGATATTTTGATATTTTTTGCTTTTTTTTTTATATGCTGCCTTGTTTTTATTTTCAACAGTCATCAAGCAGCTGAGCAATATCTGCTACAATGTTTGGTTACTACTGTTATACTTGCGTGGTAGTAGCAGTCCAGATGTGCTGACGACAGACAATGGCAGTAAATATTACGGTAAGTTTGGTGGGGATTACTGTTTAATTTTAAGGTTTTCTTGAAATACGCGATTTTGAGGCATTTGCCACTAAGTAGATTATGGTAGTTGCTGCTATAATCTGTTGCCAGTGCAACTTAACTGCTACTACTATGTTATTATAGCAGTAGCAACCATACTTAGTTACAGTTGCTGCTAGGCTGATTTTTCAGCACACTTAAAATGTACTAAGCCAATATCTGTCTGGCAATATAGCGTGCTTTTGCGAGTTAATAACATTTAAATAGCAGTGTAAGCATTTTAACTATTATTGTATGATTTGATGTGATTTATAGTTCTTATTAATTTTATTTATAACCATTCTTAACATTCTTAAATTACTATCTCTTACAGTTATAGTTCATGGATAACCATGTTCGTTTTGTTTTTCCATTAAATTATCAACTATCTTCTGGGACCGTTGTATACACTTGATAGCTCATGAAATATAACCCATATTGATTTAATAGTAGAGTGCATGATAGTTGGGAAAAAGCTTTGTTAGTGAATCAAGAAGTTAACGGCACAGACCAAAGGGCACGCTAGTTATATTGCGCGCCTTCCTGACGTAATGCCTTAGTTCCACCTGAAAACCCAAAATCAAGCATTGAATTTTCGATTTTAAGGTTAGAAGACAGAAAACGTTTATTTCTTATATTGGCTTACTCCTACATTTTCTTATTTTTTGTTTTACGTCGACTAAAATATTTAATATTGATTTACAGCAGTATTTATACTTTTATGGGGTGTCGGGAGAGAATTTATGAGGGAAATGAGACGGACGCCGCCATTTCGCCTAAGTACGTCGCCCTTGACCAGGCTATGGAGCCGAGAAACCCTAGTCGACACACCTCGCAATCAGAAGTAGCCCTCTCGGCCTGTTTACTTACCACTGGCTACCTTTTCATGGGCACCTCGAGTACCGTGGACTCATAACTCAGGAGCGTACTTTTCTGAATATACGCTTCAACTCTCTGGTCTATACAGGGAAAAAAGCGGGGAGAGCGTGGATGCACTTA